ATCTGCTGGAGTAGTACAGTTGTTTGGCTTTTCTACAGTTACCCCCAGTAATATTATTATGTACACATTTTCTTTGGTGTTGAACTAGAGTGATTATCATTGTATATTATTATTATTATTATGAGAGTACAGTAGACCTCCGGATATCGACTGGTGCGGAAATCGGCCAATTCAGAAATCGAGCACTTTTTTCAGCAAAATTTACCCCCGGATTTCGGCCATCTGCTCGGAAATCGTTGGTATGAGATGCGTCCACTCACCAGCGACAAGCTTCCTCACGCGTATCACACTCAGTCTGAGTGTCTCTCTCGTTGGGTTAGGAATACTCCACACGTTCATCCATTGTATTGGGTGATTGTTTATTGATTGCAACTGTGAAATAAGCCACCATGGAGTCAAAGAAAGTTCAAGTTGGTAAAGAAGGTGAGAAACACAATAGAATTCAAGAAAGAAGTTATCGCAAAATATGAAAGTGGTGTACGTTTGGCGGAGCTGGCCAGGATGTATGGAAAATCTACATCAACAATCAGTTCCATCCTGTTGAAGACAGCAGAGATCAAGGAAGCTGATGTTGCAAAAGGTGTAAATATGCTAATGAAACAGAGGTCTCAAACAATCGAGGATGTGGAGAAGTTGATGTTGGTGTGGATCAACCAAAAACAGTTAGTGGGAGATAGTGTTTCGGAGGGGATAATTTGCGAGAAGGCAAGGCAGTTGCATGCAGATCTCATAAAGAAAATACCGGGAACGAGTGCTGCTGTTAGTGAATTTAAGGCCAGCAATGGCTGGTTCAACAGATTCAAGAAGCGTAGTGGCATACACAGTGTTATAAGGCATGGCGAGGCTGCAAGTTCTGACAAATGTGTGGCCGAACCATTCGTTGATGAATTCAAGGGGTACGTAGAGGATGAAGGACTCCTCCCCCAACAGGTCTTCAGTTGTGACGAAACAGGCCTCTTTTGGAAGAAAATGTCAAAGAGGACCTACATCACACAGGAGGAAAAGGCACAGCCAGAACACAAGCCTATGAAGGATAGGCTAACTCTTTTGTTCTATGGTAACGCTAGTGGGGATTTCAAAATGAAGCCCTTACTCGTGTATCACTGAAAATCCCAGACTGTTCTAGAAAAACAATGTCATGAAGAGTAAATTGTGTGTGATGTGGATGGCTAACAATAAGGCATGGGTCATGAGGCTAATTTTCATTGAGTGGGTCAGTGAAGTGTTTGGCCCGAGTGTGAAGAAATACCTCCTGGAAAATATATTGCCACTTAAGTGCCTCCTGGTAATGGACAGTGCTCTTGCTCATCCTCCAGACTTGGAAGATCTATTGTTTGAGGAGTGTAAGTTCATCCCAGTGAAGTTCTTGCCCTTTAATACCACTCCTCCCATCCAGCCAATGGACCAACAGGTCATTTCAACTTCAAAAAACTGTACACCAAAGCAATGTTTCAGAGGTGCTTTGAAGCGACCTTGGACACTGAATTGACCCTAAGAGAGTTCTGGAGGAATCACTTCAATATCCTCCATTGCATAAGCCTTATCTATAAGGCTTGGCAGGGAGTGGCTTTCAGGACTTTGAAGTCTGCTTGGAGAAAATTGTGGCCAGAATGTGTCCTCAACAATGATTTTGAAGGTTTTGAGGCTGACCCTGACAATCCTATGCCTATTGTGGAATCTATTGTGTCTTTGGGGAAGTCCTTGGGGTTGGATGTGAGTGGCAAGGATGTGGAAGAGTTGGTGGAGGACCACAAGGAAGAACTAACCAATGAAGAGCTGCAACACCTTCAACAGGAACAGCAGCAGACTGCAGCTGGGGATATTGTTTCAGAGGAGGAAGAGAGAGGAGAGAATGTGCCTTCTTCAGTGATTAAGGACATTTGTGCAAAGTGGAGTGAGGTGCAAAGTTTTTGCAGAGAATTATTACCCTGACAAAACTGTTGCAAGCTGTGTCTGCAACATGTTCAATGACAGTGTCTTGTCCCATTTTAGGCAAATTTTACAGACGCTAGAAACAGGCCTCTCTGGACAGATTTTTTGTGCAATAGGGGTGCAGTGACTCTAAAGCTGGTCCTAGTGCCAGTAAAAAACAAAGAAGGGAAGTAACCCCAGAGAGGGCCTTGATACCTGAAGTCCTTATGGAGGGGGATTCCCCTTCCAAACAATAAGCTCTCCTCCCTCTCCCCTCCTCGCCTTCTTACATATACCAACAAGAGTCTTCAATAAAGGTATGTAATGTTCATTTATTATTAAAATTAGTGTTTTATATTTCTTCCTCATTGTTTTCTGTATATAAAACTATAGGGATTCTTAAAAAAAATGTATTTTTTGTTAATATTTTTGGGTGTCTGGAACGGATTTATTGGATTTACATTATTTCTCATGGGAAATATTACTTCAGTTTTTGGCCATTTCGGATTTAGGACACACTTCTGGAATGGATTATGGCCAATAACTGGGGGTCCACTGTATATATAAAACATAAAATAACTTTAAAACACTTGAAATTTTGGAAAGTTTCCGAACATGATGGAGAGATGCGGTGCTCACAGAGAATGTAAACATACTGGGTGGGGGGAGCCGTATAGTGAATTTTGGTCATAATTTGTATTGTCTGTATTCTTGGAACGCCATAAAGCGGGGCCCTACTGTAGCAAGATTAAGCGAACCTTATTATAGCAGTATGCTTATATCAAATGAGCGAATGAAAAAAGGTGCTTAAAACAGATTTAAGGATAAAAGCAATGTTGAAAAGATTAGTTATATTGCATGTGAGAAAACCAACCTCTCCTCCTAGCTCTTGGTTATGTACTGTATTAAAGCAGTTTTTCTACATTATTGTGGGTTGCTGCTCAGCTTAATGTACATTTGTACATTATTTGCTAGGATAGAATATATACTGTTCTGACTGCCTGTTGTTTCTACAAACTATATTTTGTAGATGTAGTCTGTGACTAAATGGTATTTGTACACATATTCACTGTGGCCACTTGGGGTTATGTGCTAGTGATTGTTGCACCTTGATACTTTTGTGGGTAATAAGTGAGATTTATGAAGGGATTCAGGGAAACCGGCAGGCCAGAGTTGAGGCCTAGAGATGGGAAGTGCAGTGCCTGCTCTCTGAAGGAGGGGGTGTTGATGTTGCAGTTTTATAACTGTAGCGTAAGCGTGCCTCTGGCAAGACAGTGGTGGAGTGAATGATGATTAGAGTGTTTCTTCTTTTTCGGGTCACCCTACCTTTGTGGGAAGCAGCCGATGTGTTAATAAATAATAATGATTTTTGTGTAAAATATTTTGAATATGATTAATATGGTGCTGGACTTAGAATAATTATCAGTTATGTTGATTAACTTAATGTTCGGTATATCAGTGGATAGACTTGTAATCAGGTATTGCAGCATTTCATTTATGTACAGTACTGTATTCTGGCTTTCTCATGCAGACTATAAATATATTTGTATTAGATGTCTTTATTCAGTACAGATATGTGCACTGCATGCTTCTTGTTTATAAAATCCCTGTCTGGTGTTTAGTAGACGGAGGATCATGGAAAAAAAAATGATAATGTCTCCATCCTTTGTGGGACAGTGTCTCCTTACCTCATGAAAGCTCCATCCTTTGTGTAAGTGTCTCCCTACCTCACAATAGCTCTATCCTTTGTGGGACAGTGCCTCCCTACCTCATGAAAGCTCCATCCTTTGTGGGACAGCATCTGCCTACATCATGAAAGCTCCATCCTCTGTGGGATAGTGCCTCCCTACCTCATGAAAGCATTTTCTCTACTTTTCATCATGTGGAATGTTGAAGAGGAAGAAAGTCTTTAGCACTTCAATACAATTTTAAACTTTTTTTGGTCAGCTATTTTAATGTAGGAAAGGAGCTAAATCGTGTTGCAATAGGATAGCTGTACCATACCTACTTGCAGAAAACAGAAATTGCTTAAAATATGATGGGGACTTATCATTAAACATTGGCATCCAGTCCCCTACAAGGCTTAATTTGAGCTTGCTTTGAATTTTTCACTTGCATTAATGACAGATTTGGTATTGATCTTTAGTCCTTTGCCTGAGGAATTTCTGATGAAATGAAGTGTGGGTACCCTGGCTTTTTTAAGGTCTCAGGAATGGTTTGGTATAAAGTGATTTGTTGAAAATTGCTGTGACTAATGATTGCATGGATCAGATGATACCAAAACTTTTGCCAGTACTGATACTGAGTTTTAGGCCAATACCGATACCATCAAACTTAGCTGATACTCATTAATACCCAATTTTAGAGTGACACTGATAACCACTGCCATCAAAATAAACTACTATTTACTGATGCCAGTACTTTAGCACAGTTCTAGATAACAGTATATATGCAGCTTTCTTACAGGTTAGTTACCAATAAGATAAATATTGACATTGGTTGGAGTTTCTAGGGTATCAAGTATGTCTGCTTATGTCTTAGTATGGGGTACCTCTTTAGGGCAAGGGCTTTTAATTTAAGGAATCATGGCTCTCAATTCCTTCTTTGGACAAGATCAGTTACCTCCCATTCTTGAGGCCCTGTATGACCATTGTGTGTTGAGCACTCCCCAGTTAATATAATAATAATGTTCTGTATGCCTCTAGAACTTAGGTAATTACCAGTATATGAAACCAGTTTTTTTTCCCTCAACACACTGGCCATCTCCCACCGAGGCAGGGTGACCCCCCCCTCTAAAAACAAAATATTTTCACATCATTCACACTATCACTGACTTAGCAGAGGCATTCAGATACAACAATTTAGATATCACTCTAAATAGCAAATATTCCAAGGCCCTCCTTTAAAGTGCAGGCACAAGTCTGGCTGATCGGTTTCCCTGAATCCCTTCACAAAATATTACCCTGCTCACACTCCAACAGCTTGTCAGGTCCCAAAAACCATTTGTCTCCACTCCTATCTAACATGTTCACACGTCAGAGTTACCATGATATTTCTTAGTCATAACTCATATGTTTATACAATTTCAG